ACTCGGTGTGCGCGCGCGTGCCATGCGCGTCTGGGGACTCGATCGTGATCAGCCAGTGCTGAAGTGGTCTCATATAGAATAATCCGAGCGGCATGAAGCGGCTGCGGATGCCATATGCCCCAGGAGCCTCTGACATAGTTTCAGTGGGACCACTATTTTACTGTCGAGCTCTCTAAGACAGTACAGCATCAGCTGAGCGCGCTCTCCGGAGAGGCGCGCTGCCATGGTGACCGAGTCCAACTCCAGCCCGAGAAAAGAGATCCTCTGCACGGGGGCGAGTTTGCTCTTTTCTCGGTTGACCTGAAACCCCCACAGGTGGAAGTGCCAGAGCACTTTGTCTCTGTGCATAATCAATTGCTCCGAGAGAGGGCAAAAATCAGCCAGTCGTAAAGAAATAGAGTATGCAGATGCCCGCGAGCCGAAGGGGCGCTGAGGCACCCTCCGCGGGCTTGGTGAGGACCCGCGGAGACAGAGAGAGCCCGAAGGGGAGGGCTTTGTATTGCCAAGCTCGACCTTCAAACGCAAACCGCAGAAACTGTCGGTGGCGAGGAAGAGTGGAGACATGGAAATACGCGTCCATCAGGTCTAATGCTGCAGGCCAACCCAGAGGACAAACGCACCGGAGGATGCGCTTCTGCGTGAGCATTCTGAACGGCAGCTTGTGCAGGCAGCGGTTCAAAACGCGCAGATCTAGGATTGGCCGTGACCCACCGCTCTTTTTGGGCACGATGAAGTGTGGGCTGTAAAACCCGCTCTCCATCTCGGCTGGAGGGAGCGGCTCGATTGCATCCTTCGCCAGGAGGACAGCAATCTCCTCTCGCAAGACAGGGGCGGACAGGGGGCTGACCCTGGTGAATACACACCCGCGACTTGGGGGGCCGTTTCGCGAACTGAATCGCATAGCCGAGTCTGATTGTGCGTATGAGCCACCGCGAAGAGCTGGCCCGCGCTAACCAGGCAGGCAGAGCTCCCGCTAATGGACTCATCGCTACAATCGCTGACGTACCAGCAGTGGGGCAGCGCGGAGTGGGTGTGCTGATCCGGGAAGCTCGCGGGTCCCACGGAAAAGCTGGAGGTGAGATATTTGCTCTCACTCCGAACCCGAGCTCCGGAGGGGAGGCTCGAGGGGTGGGAGAAAGGAGACCGTCCTCCCAGCGCTCGTGAGCCACTGGCGAAACGCACCGAATCTGCAAGCTAGAAAGCATAGCGTCCCAGACTGGCAGATTTCGGGCTGTCACATCTGGGGAAGTGAAAAGTGCCCTTTCATAATGTTTTCATGGCAGTAAAAAGTGCCGTTGGAAATGGGGCCCCGCCCTCCAGCGGGGAAAGAGCAAGTTCCCTCTTCTCCAGATGGCCTGTCCCAGGGGCGCTTCGCGGTCCGTTGCCGGACTTAGCGGCGTTCTGGGCAGGGGGGCTGCCTGCTTCCGAGGTGCCCGACGCGCTCGCTTCGCCGGAGGCGTGTGCGGGGGCGGAGCAGCTCTCGTAGGCGGGCGCCTTCGGCGAGGAGCAGGTATGAATGGCACGGCGGGCGGAGCGGGCTACGGACCGCCGATAAGACATCACCCACCAACTGCTCTCTCACCGCCTTGAATTCCTGGGTGAATTCACAGACAGTGTCGCCGAACCTGGCTGGGGATATGGGGAAGTCAAGAAAGCGGACTTTGTCGACTTTGCGCCTATCAGCCAGGGGTGGCGCTCCTGGACCACTAATATGGACATCGTCCTCCCCAACGCACACGCAGCGGACTCAGTAGTCCGAAGAGCTAAGTCGGCGGCGGTGCGAAGCTCGTAAGCCTGGGTTGGACCCACCCTCGTGCAGCTCGGCCAGCGCCTGCGCTTGGTAGCGCTGGTAGGTGGCTATCGCATGCAAGGCGGAAGCAGCCTGGCCCGCAGCTATGTAAGCTCTAGCTCCGAGGGAGGTAGATAACTTACAGGCTTTGGATGGGAGACGAGGCGGACCCCGCCAAGAAGAGGCGCCGCGCGGATTTACCACCATCGCGCACTCAACCTGAGGAATCGCCACATACCCCCTGGCTGTTTCACCGTCAAGAGTGATTAGGGTGGAGGGACACGCAGCACGAGCAGAAAAAAGTGCTTTACAAGACCGCGTGAGCCTACTGTGCACCTCCGGGAAGAAGGGAACGCCCCTCTAGTCGGTCTAGAAGCAGCCCGGGAAAGCACAGCTAACATGTCCGTTTCAGGATCCGTAGTGACAGCGCTCACCAGCCCGAAGGGGGCGAGCGGGTCTGGATCATCATCGGACAATGAAAGCCCACCCTCCGATGCCGCGGTGGACATCTGGTCTCCGGTGTCATCGGGCGTAAGGGCTACCATCTGTTAGACGGATCGCTTCCCCCGCCCGAAGCTTGGATGGAGCGCTTAGAGGAGCGGGAGGTCCGCGGGCCCATGGGCGACGGATTATCTCTCGCTGAAACCCTCAGATCTGCCCGAGTGCCCGCTGCAGAGCAGGGGACAACTGGGGTGGTTCGCCCTTTTGCAAAGGCTAACCGCGATCTTGCGCAACAGTCATGGCATCGCAATGACGACATGAACTGCCCGCGAGCAGCGCATTAACATGCTGGACCCCCAGACATGTAACGCAGTGCCCGCGCCCATCATCCGAGGACAGGAAACCACCGCATCCAGAAACGCACAGTCGGAGCGCCGTCCTGAAAAGGACGTGCTGCACGACTGTGTTGCTCTTTCTGTGAAGTTTGCAACTTTATACGCACCGCTCTGGAGGACCGGACCCAAAGAACGCCAGGCAAGGGAGAAACCCAGCTCAACCGTCTGCCGCTGCGTGTACACACTCTGGACCGGGAGAATGCTCTCGTTCGCTCAGAATCGCTGGTCACAGCAGGAGGAACCCTCATCGACTCGATCAGAAAGTCTCTGAAGCGAAAAGGATAGCGTCTGCTGGCGCCAGGTGAGCTTATATACTCAGTTGATTGCTTATGCCGCTCACCTGCGCAGGCTTGCGCTGCCAATTCATTCTTAATTGGCCCGTTCAATACTCTTTCAGACGAGTAGCTTTTGAACCGAACCTCCCAATGCGTGGATTTTACAATCAAATCCACTTATAGTGCTGGAGTTCCCCCCGAAGGGGAACTCTTCTTCCCATGCTTTCCAAGCTTTTGGTATATTCGTCGCATTCCAGTCAAAATTCGCTGGCGGCTTCAATCCGAAAGCACCCTCCATGATCGGCGCACGTCTCTCTTAATTACTTTCTCCGTAGTGATTTACCTCGGTCTTTCACTTTTCTTCTTGGTAATTTACCGCTGCCACCATGTTTATGCTTAGTTCACTCTAATTCTCAACTATCACTCTATATATCAATGAATCTCAGACACGCAGGTTTTCACTGTGCTTCCTTTACCTCACATGCATGCGCATAGCAATGACGTCATACACTACAAACCATACATGGTCTGTCACATTCTCCCATCCTGCTGTCTATATACATAACATATTGTAACAACACTGAAACATAAAACAAGTCACGGTTACAGAAATGTAACACTTTAAAAGAGTAATGCTCAATCCTAAATACATTGCTTGCTGTTTTAACTGTTTGGGCAATAGGGTATATGCCGAGCTAGTGCTGTTCCCATGCTGATACACTTCCGGTGACCTGTTATTGTGAACTTTTTCTCATTTTATACGGTTCCTTATACAGCATCGATGTTGAAATGTCATTAAAATACATTTAGTTAAATAAACTTTAGCATTTATTTAGTTGCTCAAGCGTAAAACGAGACAAAAAGCTGTTTACTCCCACGCGCTCGTCAGAATCGGCAGGCTAACGCAGAAGCTCCATTGAATATACTGGGGTAAAATAAATGCTCATATTATAAAGATATGGCAGGGAAAATGTAATTTAATGCAGTGCTTCTTGTACAATCTGAGACCCACTTTAAATCGGATATCACTCAGCTATTGGAGATCGCTGATTTTTTTTTTTTTAAAGAAAACAGTAGTGATGTGACGTTGTGCGCCGAGGCTTCGAAGCATGTATCAAAAAAACGATACATCTGGCAGTGAAGCAGTGTACCGGAGCTTGATTCGTTTTGCCATCATCACGTGATCAGTGACGTCCGAAGCTTCATTTTCGCCTTTACCCACGTGACTGCTTCAAATTTTGATTCAAATGTTTAAACACCCTCATAGTAAAGAGTATAGCGAGAGATTAGGCGTCGATTACATACATTTGTACTGTTTCAAAGCACTGCACCAGTCCCACACAGCAGTAATTAAACTAAAATACAATAGTAATTTTTAGTAAAAAGGTTTTGAACCATACTAAAGTGTATTAGCTTATTTTTTTACAACTATCTTTAAAGAAAACCACTGCATATCGTAGTATTGTCTTTAACAGAGACCATCTGGCGAGCGCATCTTTATAGTATCAATCACATGGCGTCCTTCTAGAGCACTCGCCTCCCACACAGGAATCGCTGGTTTGATCCCCGCTTGGAGCAGAGCTAGTTGTATTATGATAAACTTTTGAATACCTTGGATTTTACCACAGTCATCAGTTGTGTAATGTAATATATCTTGTGTAAAAACTACAGTATTTGAGTAATTTGTTTATATTGCTGTTGTTGTATTACTACATGAATGAGTTGGTCAGTTGTGAACATTTGACATTATGGCAGCACAGTGCTTTCCCACACTTTCACCAGAAGAGGTCCTCATCGAGCTCTGATTTAGAAAGCTTCGAGTAACGAACCCTTTTCCGATACAATTGAGTCGAGCGCTTCACTGGTTCAGAAAGCTTCATTTCACCATCAAAACAGACCTTAAACGCACCGGATTTTGCATTGCCATTCAATTCGCCGGAAGCGCTTAGGTTAAAGGCAAATTAAAAGTCCTATTAGCATGCTTCGCCCCATTTATGAAAATGTTTTCTTTTATAAATGTAAATTAGGTCATTAATAAAATTAAGACATATGCAATAAAAATGTTATTGCGTCGTTTATTAGACCTTTTTTTTTTTTTTTACTAATTTCTCATCTTATTTTAAAGTTTAGAATAATAACTGAACAATATGGAATATTATGGGCTGGAATCGGTCTGCTACATCTGGCAACACTGTTTGAACACTTTAGTCACATGACCAGGGTGTTTCAGATAATGCTTGGAAAAGTCTAGATCGGATACATGGCCAGGTGAAAATAAATGAAATTTTTAATAAATAATAACAATATTTCTCGTTAACGTCCGGCAACAACTACCGGTGCTTCGAAACGTCAGTTTCACGTCACCCAGACGTACAGGAAGAGCAAATTAAAAGTGAAACAGCCGTTCGATCTTGCAGAGGGCAGATAGCACCGCATTTTAAAATCAGGTTAACGTTAAAAAATAATTAACTGTTTTTCACCGTAAGTGACTTAGGCAGTGAGTGACGATGTTGGGAAAATCCAGGTATGTCTGTCGAAGTTTTTTTCTGAATAATAGCCTACCATTCAAGCTAATATGTTCGGTAACACTACACAGTTAGCTTGAAATAAGCCATCATTTGTAATGTTTATGAAAACGGGATAAAATAGCCAGGCTAAATTTGGTGCAATTAGCTGATTGGTCGGCTTATGTCCATCACTTCACCCATCATTTGTCGAAATATTTCGGACACATACGCAAACTATTTTTATTACTTTGCTTACACCAAATTCTGCGACCGTCGTATTCTGTGACTCTAGTAGGCGCCGTTCTCACTGTTTTACTTGAACTCGCTCCCACAGGCGGACTGGGGTCCGTTCTTCGTACCTCGCTTAAATGATCTAAGATGATTTTGCCGAACCTGGATCTTTTAATCTTGATAACTGATCTCTCGCTAATTTGGTTCTTCAAACAAGTTCGTGAATCAGATTAGAATGTCTGGATGAACTGATCTGAGATCGCTGCGTGTGTTGTGAAGGGCAGATCTATCGATCCTCGAAATCATGATCAGCAATGCAACGATTGGCTGACGGCACAGCAGCGTAATGACATCATCTGATTAATATTCAATTATCCATGTGAGCAAAATTACATCAAATTAGCAGTAAATGGTTTGTTAAATATGACACGCAATAACCTTCCACATTTGTTGTGAGCTGCAGGCTTTCCACTTTCATGTGTCAAGAGTATTCATCATGTATTTCAATGCATATCAATGTATTTAGTTCTACATTTAGAAAAGATTTTCTTTATTATAGTAGCCGTTTTTTAATCGTTGTATGGAATAACTGGATGTTTACAAAAGCATTTTGATATTGGTAAAGGTGTCTGCAACTTTTGTGAAGCATCAAATCACTGTCATATTAACTGTCAAAACATGTTCATGACTGCATTAATGTATTATTTCTTTTTTTAAAAAGTCACATATTTTGCATTTCTCATAAACAAATTGTACTAAAACGATCTAAAAAGTTCATATCAATAAATTTTCTCTTTGTACTTTCATTTCGAGGGTGCAGATTGCATAAGTTTTGTTAATATAACTTTATTTTAATAATAATTATAACTTTATATATATAGTTAATTTTTTTAAACTATTTTCCCAAGTGTATATAACTACTACTGTAAGAAAATATCATAATTCGGTACTTTCTCTATTATCTTTGCTTGAACTGACTCGATCTAATCCTGTTTATATGAATTGAACCTGCTCCCGATCAGGTTTGAGCTAGCAGAACTGTTGCTATGACAACAACTCTCAGATCAGCTTTGAAGAATGAAATGATCCTGGATCATGTCAAATCGTCAATATCCAAATCCAGCTAACTGAGTAATCCACGTACGAAGAACGGACCCCTGGACACGCAAACAGCGTACACACTCTCACGTGAACGCGCTCGGCGCCCGTGCACATTATATGAGCGCGTCAATATATTTCATCGTTCTCTGTTTACTATTATTTTTCTTGCCTTTGATATATAGATGTTAAGTTTACATATATTTAACAGCCCATCAAATAAAGCATTTTGCTATAATATGACCAGTACAGCGAGCTTTTATATTAATTTTAGGTTATTAAAACACACTATCTATCTATCTATCTATCTATCTATCTATCTATCTATCTATCTATCTATCTGTCTGTCTGTCTGTCTGTCTGTCTGTCTGTGTAGCTAGTCTAGTTTGTTTTAGCATTTTTCCCTTGTAAGCAGTTATGTAGATTACTGTTGATCCCTTTTAAATGTTCCCTAAATATGTTTATAGAATTTCTAAATTGGCTTTTAAATTAAAAAGAAAATTATTGAAGTAAATGTGAAATGTGTGTGTAAAATACTGGTTAACAGAATGTAGGCACACAAGTTAAAATAAGTAAGGTGCATAATTTAATTTAAAATGAAATGTTTTTTATGTGTATATTTTCAAAAAGGTTAAATCTAAGAAAACATTTAACTTAACAATTACTTGAAAACTATTAACATAAAGACATGGTATGGGATTAACATTCTGCACAGTTGTAGGGGCTTCATGGAGTCAGGCTTAAACACATTACATGTGATACCTCTGGTCACACGTGTCACTGAATCTGTAACGAAGGAATAAATGTTTTGAGACTGCCATCTTATTTTAAAAGAAGGTTACTCAAGAACAAGGTAATGGTTTACTGTATGTTTCCCCTTTCTTCTTCCACTTCTATATTATTTTCCCCACAATAGTGGCACAGCTCACTAAGGTCATCTATTGAACCAAAATATACTTTTATCTACAACTATATGAAGGGTTAATTGGGTCTTAGTCATGTGGGAAAAAGTTACTATGGAAATTATAGCTTGACAATTTGGCAATTACTTATCACTAAAATGTAATATTGAATTAACATTTTCTAAATTCGCACAATTCTATAATAAAAAATATCAAAAGGCAAAATATCTCCAAATTATACCCTTTTTTTCACACAACTTATTTTTGTAAGTTGATTATTTTTATGCAGTGAAAAACAAAGTACCAGATTCATTCAGCAGTCTAATGGCAATTTTTTCCCCTGTCATTGTCCCATACAGAGATATTATTTGCAAACTGCAGAGACTCCACAGTTGTGATGAAACAAAACACTTTATATATATATATATATATATATATATATATATATATATATATATATATATATATATATATATATATATATGTATCATACATTTTCTTTTGTGTGATTTAAAAAAAAAATCCTAACTTGAAAAAGACAGTAAGGCAGGGAAGAGACTTGCATTTTTTGTTTATTTTTATTTTGACTATGTCAGGTAACACTTATCTGTAGGCTATATACCTATTTTTAAGGTAATATTTATAATGGTTTTCCTAACTGTTTTGGCATGCACGGAGGACTGTGATTTGGCATTTTGGAAAAAATAATCTGCATAAACTTTAAATAAAATTAGGTGTAGAATTATTTTTATTGCTATGAGTTTTTGCTGACCAAATAAAAACTTCAAAACAAAACCATGGTGTAGATCTATATACTTATGCATGAATTAACACATAGTCCTTTAATATGGATACGATAATAATACTAAAATGAGCATTAAAAAGTCTTGTATATCATTTTGAAAGATGCAAGTGTGCGGTGAAAAGAGAAAGAGAGAGCAAAACTGTCCAGAAACATTATTACAAACTGTTTGATTGAACCATGCGTGTTGTATTTTATCATATTTGAATATATATATATATATATATATATATATATATATATATATATATATATATATATATATATATATATATATATATATATATATATATATATATATATATATATATATATATATATATATATATATATATATATATTTATTTATTATATATATATTTATTTATTGGGTATGTATTATCAAAATTGTAGTTTTTTATTATCATGTAAGCTGTTTGCATTTGGAGAACATTATTTTTTTCTGTGTGAAATACGAGGGATCAGATACTAGCATTGAACAATTAATTCAGCACACGCAACCTGGGTGCATTAACGAGGCATTAACGACGCAAACTAGACTAATTACACAGACAGACAGACAGATGGACAGACAGATGGACAGACAGATAGACAGACAGACAGACAGACAGACAGACAGACAGACAGACAGACAGACAGACAGACAGACAGACAGACAGACAGATAGATAGATAGATAGATAGATAGATAGATAGATAGATAGATAGATAGATAGATAGATAGATAGATAGATAGATAGATGGTTTAATAACCTAAAATTAATATAAAAGCTCGCTGTACTGGTCATATTATAGCAAATTGCTTTATTTGATGGGCTGTTAAATATATGTAAACTTAACATCTATATATCAAAGGCAAGAAAAATAATAGTAAACAGAGAACGATGAAATATATTGACGCGCTCATATAATGTGCACGAGCGCCGAGCGCGTTCACGTGAGAGTATGTACGCTGTTTGCGTGTCCAGTCCGCCTGTGGGAGCGAGTTGGGCTGTTTCTCAATATGCGTTCTTCAGCGGTCTTGCGTCCTCGTGTTCTCGTGCAACGTCATCATCAGCTGCCTAAGTTCAGTTCCAATACTCAAGATCGCAAGTACGGAGGACGCGTGAAACTTCCCGGATGTGTTCTTGATATCGAGGACACACCGTCCCATTTCTCAAAGGACGCATTCTCTGCCCTCGCGGTCTCCTGAGTTCGTTCTTCCGAGGACACCTGGCAAGACCGCTCTCCACAAGAACGCAAGTCCATTCTCTGCGTTCTTGGAATTGAGAAACACCTTCAAGTTAAACAGTGAGAACAGCGCCTACCAGAATACGGCGGTCGCAGAATTTGGTGTAACACCGCCATCATCTTGTGTTTCTTATCTTAAAGGACTTGGAGAGTGAAAATATAAATTAAATACAATAAAGTATTATGTATGATCAGATGCAGTAAATGAAATAATATAGAGAGAAATAAGTCTGTAAAATGACAGAAATAGTAGTGGCAGTTTATTACAGTACCATAATATACAACACCAAACCATGCAATATATCACTTTACGCTATTAAAATGTCATTAAAATGCCTTTTACAAACTTTTCAAGATTAAACATTGTTGGAAGAAAGATCAAGGCCCCATAATGCAATTCAAAAGCATACAACTGATTTACAGACATTTCTTTTACTATTATTATTATTATTTGTTATACAGCAAAGTGCTTGAAACTGGCGGGTTAATGTGCAATATAACAAAACAATAACTATTATTTAAATAAAATATTCTATATTGTTCAGTAATTATTATAACCTTGACAAAAGGGTCAAATAAACAGTATAACGGAATAACAACTTTAGTCTTTAATTGTCTATTAATTGTCTCTATAAAAATGTCTTAATTTACATTTATAAATGAAAATCCTTTTGTAAATTGCATAAAAATTACTATTAAAACAGCGAACAATGTATTTAGGATTGAGCATTACTTTTAAAGTGGTAAATTCCCGTAACAATGACTTGTTTCAGTGTAAGGAGACTATGATATGTGTTGCCAAATATTACTTTAAACTTTTTTTTTTTAACAGGGAAAAAATATTGGTCTTATTCCAGCTGATGTTGCTGTCGACTGAAAGTAAGCACAAGTTTAACAGTCAAGTTAGAAAATGCCTTATTATTACTTTTTATTTAATCATCTTTTCTCTTTTTAGTGTCTCTGCAGGAGAGCATTGTGGGTTTTATTGGTGACTCAGTTGTTTTGGAATGCTCTTCTGGACAACCTGAGCTCACAGTTCAAGACATCACAGTGCGCTGGAGACACAATAATCTGAACGTGTACGACATTATTAATGGACAAGTTTCAGTAGAGGGACAAAATCAAGCATATAAGAACAGAGCTGATACCTTCCCTGATGAATATAAGAATGGAAACTTCTCGCTCAAACTCAACAATCTTCAACACAGTGATAAAGGAAGTTACACGTGCTATATTATAAATGAATCAAAATATAAGAGTGTCAATCTTATTGTCGAAGGTGTGTAAAAACATTTTTATTCCAAAGAGTAAAGAGGTCTAATAACAAGAATATTTACATTTTAATACAATTAAACATAAATATTTGAATTTATTATTTATAATCTGTTTCATATGCATGCGTGTTTGCATTTAATAACACATATATACAGTACACACATACATTTTGCCAAAACAAATTTTTGTTTTGGATTAATCTTTGCCCAGCATTAATAGTTTGCTCTAGGAATGGATGCATGTATGTTTTCATATAATTTTTCCCATTCATTTTTGTCCATTCAGAAAAACAAAAGAAAACGAGCCACGGAACAAAACCAAGACCAGATTTGACCTTAATCATTTTTGCTATGTGTATTGGAATTTTTTTTCTTGTGACTGTAAGTTCAGTGTATTAAATTTTAACGGTAGCGTGAAGTAAATGTCATGAGTAGATCACACTGTCTAACTAAACACATATGATGTTTGTGTTTCAGAACTCAGCCACAGGTTTTTTTGTGCCGGTCCCGAGCCCGGGTAAATGAGGAGGGGTTTAAGCAGAATTTCCACTAAGTAAGTGCATCTTTAATCCTACAGCCCTTTTTACAATGCAGATAATGTCAAACCAGCTTTATACAGATAAACAGGAAAAAAAACATAACAATAATCAGATTGTGGCACATGTTCAGCATATCACGCAGAACGCAGAGTGTAGTTAAACTTAAATGAAAACTAATTCTATTCAGTTTAATACAAATGTCCCTGTCCAAGTATACCGCAATGCTGGTAGTTTTAGTATTCAACCCAAGGCCCACTGATGTAATTTGACAAAACAAATTTCAGCTGTACTTGTGTATATATATATATTTTTTTCTCTCTCTCTCTCTCTCTCTCTCTCTCTCTCTCAGTTTTTCAGTTCAGTTCAAGTTGCTTTATTGGCATGACATTAAGTACAGTATTGCCAAAGCATTTCAAATATGAAACATATTAAAACCTCTCTCTCTTTCTCTCTCTCTCTCTCACAGTTAGATTGCATTAATATTAGTTACAAATCATTTTGTTCAGTCTTTTAGTGTTATTGGTTTGTAAATAGGTTTGTTAAACTATCCATAGACTTAAAGCACATTTTCTTGTTTTACAAAATATGATACATCAACATTTAACTAAGATGCCTACAATTTTTATTTTTTTATGAATATATATTTTTGTTCCAGATCGTGCAGATATTAAAGGTGGTGTAGGTGATTTGCCAGAATGCTAGCATTAGCATAATAGCTTTGAAATTTTACGACTCTCTCCTGCCGTCCAAAGCCACGCCTCCTTAAGTCATGAACACGCGAACTCGCACTGATTAGATAGAACACTAGATCATGCCATTCACCAGTTAGAAAACTCTATGGAGACATGCACTTTATCAAGCGGAGTTGTTAACAGGCCAAAGGGTGCAGGAATTATATATCTCCAAAACTGTGTCACGGGCTGGCACTGTTCAAACATGAACAATTGTGTGAATTTAAATCAAATTTCACCTCAGTAAAGTTTTTAAGTTCTAAAGGGTTAAATATGCAAGAAAGTTTTACCGTTAATTGTATAACTAATTTTGTCTATTTGAATGAACTGCAACAGGTCATACATCCAATGAAAATAGTTTGGCGGAAAAGGCTTTTTCCAGTTCAATAGGATAATTCTTTTAGCAATTATTAAGCAAAAGACTGCAAAGATGACAGTGACACATTTCTAGGATTGAGTCCGAACAGTGCCACTAAAGGAAACGGGTCAATTTTTAGAAGAAAAATATCAGATATTGATTTAAAGAGCCCATATTATGGGTTTTTGAAAATGCCCTTCCATGTAGTGTGTAACAGCTCTAAGTGAAGTGAAATACCCAGCTAAGGCTTAAATCTGTAAGTGTACACTGTTGATTCATCTATAAAAGAGTCGACTCATAGTGCTTCAAATAAGTCGTCTTGATAACGAGTCATTAGGTGTTTCGCCATGACGTGATAACGAAACCAAGTAGTTGCACTTGCAAACCCGGTCGTCTGTATTTTCAAGTCCATCGTCTGTATTTACATTCACCCACTGGCAGCCAAAATCCACGCCTTACACTATCGAGCGTGTATGAACTGTGAGTACTTTTATATTGTTGATTAGCTGCTGGGCATTTCACTCTGTCTCTCGCTGAAGGCAGTCAGTATAGACCAATCGCAATAGTCTGTTATCGGTCCAATCAGCGCAGTTTAGTTTTGCGCTAAGGAGGGGTTCGGGAACTAATGAATCACTGAACGATTTATATGGGAGTCGCTGGGATAATTAGGTAAAAATAAATGCAGATTACAAGGTAATGAAAGTGTTTTTTGACCTTGCATGCATATTAGACTGTTGTTGGAGACCCTTACAACCAAAATATGACCCTATTTCATGTATAATATGGGCTCTAAGAGATTTCTCTGGACAAAGCCAAAAGGTATGGTAGAGGTTAGCTGGAGCTTGTCGGCATCCATAACAAATGGGATCAAATTCTGGGTTTGTTTTAGATAGTTTTTGTCCAATAAATTCTGTGTAGTAGTTTAAACTGTATCAGTGAATGGCGAGCAATATTCCATCTAAAGTCTTAAAAAAAGATTTGAGTATAAACACTGGAATGTTTTGAAATAAGAAAAGAAATTTAGACAAAATGTTTGGTTTTTATGCACTGCAAAAAATGCTTTTCTTATTTAGATTTTTTTGTCTTGTTTCAAGTTCAAATATCTAAAAATTCTTTAATAAAGGAGAATTTTCTAGACAAGCAAAACCTATCTTGTTTTGAGAAATAATATGACAGCGAGTTTTTCCTTAAAACAAGCAAAATAATCTGCCAATGGGTTGAGCAAAATAATCTTGTTTTTCCTTTTGACATAAGATTAATTTGCTTACCCCATTGGCAGATTATTTAGCTTGTTTTAAGAAAAAACTCACTTAATATTAACATATGATTTCTCAAAACAGGACAATATGTTTTGCTTGTCTAGAAATATCTTCTTTATTTGAGAATTTTTAGATATTTGGACTCGAAACAAGACAAAAAATATAAGTAAGAAAAGCATTTTTTGCAGTGTGGTATTAATTTTGCCTATACAAGCGATAATGGAAGAGTCGTCCACCTAGCTAGATCTTGCTTTGTTTGATCCAGAATTGGAATAAAAGGTTAACAACACACTTTTAACATTTATGTACATCAAGGCACATTTTTGCATCTGTAAACAAATAGTTGGAAGTAATTTTTTTGCCTTCCCATTAATTTAAAAAAATGTTTCCCAAGTAATCTTTAACAAACCAAATAATTCTTCACAGTATTTTCTATAAAAATAAGTTTGTGTTGAATAAAAGCAGTTTTAATAAATAATAATAAAAAATATATATATTTTAAGGTCAGTATTATTAGCCTCCTTAATATTTACTGTGTATTGTAGATTATCTAATTATCCCAGCGACTCCCATATGAATCGTTCAGCGATTCATTTGTTCCCAAACCCCTCCTTAACGCGAAGCTAATCTGCACTGATTGGATCGATGACTGCCTGTTGCGATTGGTCGGCATTCAGTGCGAGACAGAGTGAAATGACCAGCACAGCTTATCAACAATATAGAAGTAGTTAGAGTGCATAACTAGTTTATTGAACCAAAACTCCAAGAACTGGGGAGGAGATCAACGAAAGTCTCCTAGACCATCACACTCTACCTGCTCTTTTTTTTTCACACACACATTACCCTTTTCCTCACTTTCTTTTTCATTTTCGGGTTGAGGGCAGCGTGATTGCCAATAGAGTGCCAGTTCAACTTGCTCCAGCCCTGAATGTTATTCAGACACCTTACCCCAAATTTAACCCCCCTGGTCTTTTGGATTTTCAGGGACTGATGTGTGTGCTGTTTAACACCAGCATATTGCTCTATTCTTAACCAGGACACACATTCAGTATTAATCCACACAGTGGCAAAAGCTGAACTATTTTGAAACTTGACTGCTGCAAGTGTGTAAGAACAGCTGATGATGGCCATAGCAACGACAAACGGCAGTGGAACACAAGGGGTCCGTTCTTCGTACCTCGCTTAAATGATCTAAGATTATTTGGCAGATCCTAGATCTTTTCATCTTGATAACTGATCTCTCGCTAATTTGGTTCTTCAAACAAGTTCGCGAATCAGATTAGAATGTCTGGATGAACTGATCTGAGATCGCTGCATGTGTTATGAAGGACAGATCTATCGATCCTCGAAATCATGATCAGCAATGCAACGATTGGCTGACGGCACAGCAGCGTAATGACATCATCTGATTAATATTCAATTATCCATGTGAGGAAAATTACATCAAATTAGCAGTAAACGGCTTGTTAAATATGACACGCAAGAACTTTCCACATTTGTTGTGAGCTGCAGGCTTTACACTTTCATGTGTCAAGACAAGAGTATTCATCATGTATTTCAATGCAAATCAATGTATTTAGTTCTACATTTAGAAAATATTTTCTTCATTATAGTAGCTGTTTTTTAATCGGTGTAAAGAATAACTGGTTGTTTACAAAAGCATTTTCATATTGGTAAAGGCGTCTGCAACTTTTGTGAAGCATCAAATCACTGGCATATTAACTATCAAAACATGTTTATGACTGCATAAATGTATTATTGCTTTTAAAAAAAAATCTATTATACACAATTTGTACTAAAGCGATCTAAAAAGTTCATATCAATAAGTTTTCTCTTTGCACCAGATGGCAGTCTTTGTATTTTCATTTCGAGGGTGCAGATTCCATACATTTTATTAATATGTATAACTTTATTTATTTTATTAATGACTATAACTTTAACTTTTTTATATATATATATATATATATATATAGTTTAAAAGTATGTACCATTTTCCCAAGTGTATATAACTACTACTGTAAGAAAATATCAGAATTCGGAACATACTTTCTGTATTATTGCTTGAACTGTTTATATGAATTAAACCTGCTCCCGATCAGGTTTGAGCTAGCAGAACTGTTGCCATGACAACATCTCTCGGATCAGCTTTGAAGAACGAAACAATCCTGGATCGTGTCAAATCGTCAATATCCAAATCCAGCTAACTGAGTAATCCACGTACGAAGAACGGACCCCAGCTCGTAAATGCATTTAAATGTAAACAAAGCAGCATGCATCGCGCTTTCAATGTGGCTTTAGACGCAATATGAGAATATAAAGAGTTAACCTGATACAGTACAAGCGGTTACAAGTAACAAAACACAGTTAAATACATAATTTGAAAACAAGGAGACAACCATTTTAATCGCACTTACTTACACTTGTGAAATAGAGGAAGAAACTGATCCTTGTACATAACAGTCCCTTACATCAAGTCTTTTCTGATCCTTCCTTTAGCAAACAGCTGATGAATTATCCATTGTAAGGGTGTAAGACTCCAGAATGCTGAGATATTTTTGCAAAATTAAACTTCAACCACTGATTCTTCACAGTTTCATCTATGGGTAGAGAAAATAGCACTAACTTTCCTCTCACACTTCCAGTAATATCCAGCTGAGTACAGCGTTGATTCAACCGGCGTCTGCTACAGTGTGTGTCTACTCTCTTTTTCTTTGTGTACTGTGCTTGTGGGTGGGACCACAGGCTTCAATTTTCCTGGGTTTGTGCGCACAACAACTGGGCAGTGCTTAAGGCTCTTTAAAAGTCAGACTCTGACACCATTTGTGATAATAGATTCAAATCAACTCTAAAATTGTTTAAAAATTATTTTCTGTAATGCACAAGCTTTGTTTTTTTACAGTTGTGCCTTTTTGATTTTATTTACAGTAATGAATTAATATTTTCAGTATATTGAATTCACTATAAACACTTAGATGAATTAAACTCTGACACCATTTAAGATAATAGATTCAAATCAACTCTAAAATTGTTTAAATTATTTTCTGTAATGCACAAGCTTTGTTTTTTGTTTTTTTACAGTTGTGCCTTTTTGATTTTATATACAGTAATGAATTAATATTTTCAGTATATTGAATACACTAAAAACACTTAGATGAATTAAACTCTGACACCATTAAAGATAAAAGATTAAAATCAACTCTAAATGTATCTGAATATTATTCTGTATGATGCAAAAGCCTTGTTTTTACAGTTGTCTTTGTTGATTTTTTTATATACAGTAATGAATTCATATTTTCATTATATGGAATGCACTGTAAACCAGGGATGGACAAACCTATTCCTGGAGGGCCGGTGTCCTGCAGAGTTTTACTCCAACACTAATAAAACACACCTGAAAATGCTAATCAGTGTCCTCAAGATCACTAGAAATCTATAGGCAGGTGTGTTTAATTAGGGTTGGAGCTAAACTTTGTAGGACACCGGCCGAGTTTGCACATCCCTGCATTTTCACACCATTTGAGATCAAATATTCAAATCACCCCTAAAACTCTATACATACTTTTTAACCACAAAGAAGAAAAGTATTAATTATTTACTACTATGTAAGGCTGGGATCATTTAGAGTTAACTAGTCAGCTAACAAGTGAAGTAATCTTGGCTGTAATCCTCCCACACATCTTGACAGTAGGACACACTTCTTGATTTAGATTAACCATGCTCCTGGAGCCCCTCCAACACTATTTTGCAAGCCTCCTTAAAGTGTGTGTTTAACCAAAAGATAAATTCTGTTTTGAATTACCCCCACGAGACCTTCACTCATCTTCGGAAGACAAATTAAGATATTTTGGATGAAATTCAAGAGTTTCCTCATCTGCCATAGACAACAATGTTCGCAAATCATTCAAAGGCTAGACAAAGAACCAAAGACATTATTAAAACATACTGTGTGACTTTATTGGTCCAACTGTAATCACAACAAAGCTCCAAGAACACTTTTTCTTTATCAGATCAGCGTGCACAGTACTGCACTTTCATGTTGCACTTTTGATTCTAATACATTGTACTGCTTGTAGTAAGCACATCATTCTTTACCGGAAGCGGGAGAGAAGATGTAAGCAATCAAACACATTTTTTTTTTGGTGCACACAAGTGTTCTTGGAGCTTAACATGATTACAGTAGAAACACTAAAGTCACATGAAAGGTTTTGACAATATTGTTGCTTTCTTTTCTGGACTTTGAACATCTCAGAGCCATTCCTGTTCATGGAGGATCAAAGAGCTTTTAATTTCTAAAATATCTTAATTTGTGTTCTGAGGATGAATGAATGTGACAACATGAAGGAATTAAGTTAACTTATTAGTTTTTACAATTTTTTTTCAGTGGATTAAACTTAAAACAATTAAATTCAACGATAATTTAAATGGTATATTCACCACAAAATAGGCAACCGATTAGAAAATAATTTAATCAAAATAGAAACTAGGTTAGCCTAGCCTCATATGCTAACCATTCAACAGCTTGGTTACTGGAGAGGTGACATTTAAAAATAATCTAATAATAACTAATTAATCTGTTATTTCTCTTTTTTAGCCAAAAAGCCTGATGGACTATTGTTGTGCAATGAAATATATCGTTACTAGCCGATTAGGAAACACGCATGGACAGTGCTTCTACATAATTCATTCATAGAAAAAGCAGCCAGAAAGAAGAAATTGACAAATTTGTGCCGAATATTAGCATCATTGACTGATAACAATGTAAAGTACCTATAACTGTCAGTATGTTTGTGTGCTCTTTACAGTTTCTATTCTAATTTGCAGTTAAGTGGAATAAATTAATATATTGAAATGCAGATGAAAGTATAAATAGCAGAAGTGAACAAAAAGATTTTTCCTACCAGCAAATATTAATCCGACACCAAATTTAAAAGCAGACACAAACCAGCTATAATGTCATCACCAATGACCAAATCTCCAAAAAGACAGACGAAAACATCAGTGATTTGTAGATCTGATATGGCCACGAGGCTTATAAATGACAGCTGCAGGTGAAGTAAAATGGTCGCAAGTGCTTAAGCGAGGGCTTAAAAAAACAGACAGCTGGGAAACAGCCTGCTTTGTATTTTGTAGAAACACAGTTTAGATCTTTTTAGGCTAAGAGGTGTGTGTTATTGCCGTCTATCACTGTGTCAGGAATATGGAAATAAAACCAACTTACCTCCGCTCCTTTAGCGCCGCACATAGAGTTTGATCTGGGCTGGCATTTCTCCTCTTGGGTTTTAGGTTTCGGAAAGGGAAAATATTCCACCACCCTGTCTACACTTTTATGATACTGCACATTCCATAGGCACAACGCTTTGGCCTATTATTTCCCTCCCTCGAAAACTTGACAGCTCCTGCGCGTAGCTATGATTGCTAAGCCATGGTTGGTGGGTGGTGTTTTTTTGGGTGTGGCTTAGCAAAAGGTCAAGTAAAGTTAAATGTTAAAGTATATTGATGGAAAAAGTACTTACTACTCTATTTTTACTTATACTTATCTATCTGCCCAGGCATTTTAATATTTCAAAGTGAGTATGATTAATAGACATGTGTTCATAGTTTTACCACATCTACTACCCGTGGCATTTTCTATAGTATGTAAATATATTTTTAGTTTTCTGAAACTAAATTTTTACTTACTCTGTTTGTAGGTCAGATGGTCGCTCTGCACAGGCAAGAACTGAGTGACTTCCTGAAAAACATTTTCTTTCTGCGTCTGCCCATCTTCGCCTACACACAAAAAGAACAACATCTGCACCTCGTCTGCTGATCTTTGATGCAGCTGTTTTATATTATGTGCAGCAGTCGTTTAAAATAATCCCACAGTGACGTAAGCACATTTAGCACTCAGTTATTCTTGGCAGGATAGTCCTGTTATGGGCCAAACTTAGACAGAGCAAGGGACAGCAGCTGCAATTCAGCACGATGGGGTAATAGAACAAAACTCAAGATCGTAAACAACTGTGATTAATGATGAGCTAATTTAAATACTTAAAATTTCAGAAATGATCTAGGAGGAGTCCAAACTAACAGGGTCTTGGCCTGAAGGCATTTGCAAGTTAACAATTAAAATCATAGCACCACCAGATGGCCAACACAATTAATCAGTTGCAAAAATGTTTAAAAGAATTTCAAAAATGTACTATCTGACTGCAGATTTGCATATGGAAGGTGAGATATGCAAGGCATTTTAGAATGATCATATTTGGGGGTCAATGTGGCCACTAAAATATTTTAAGTTGTTCTTATTTACAGGAATGCTGCATTTTCTTTAATCATTGTTAAAATGCTTGTTACACAATATTGTTATCGTCTTGTCCTTGATCATTTTCATTTAAATTTTTTTTTTAAAATGTCATTCCTTTTTAGAATAAAACTTGAATGTGCTGCTCTGATGTGTCCTGTGTTAAACGTTTTTAGAAATTCTAAAACATATTCCTAATTAAAATAATCTTGTTATTATGACATGTTCATCTTACAAATATATTTAGCTTTTGTACTTAAATAGGTTTATCACATTGAGTCATTTGTAGATAAGCCTAAAGTTTCCACAAAGACTAATTATAGCCTATATGATTTATTAATAATTCACATGGAAATCCAAAATTGAGTAAAGCACTGCCCCCAAATCAAATACTGCATTGCCTTATAATATAGATAATATTATAGATAGATTTAATGCTAACAAGAATTAATTTAAATAATGTTACCAGGACTGCAGGCGATAGAAGGTTGCACATTTCGAGAGGAGATGGCAACACTGACCGTGAAAAAAAGCGAAAGTGATAAGCTTCATAGATATATACATTAGATGTAGCCTGACCTATTGTTGTCTATTGGACGGAATGCGTCAATAGCGCCGCCATCTTGCTACAGGGTAGCGCTCTGAAATGAATGCGGAACCAAGGTACAGTGGAGGACTATGGCCATCCAAAGCCAGAGATATACACATATATCTATGATCGGGAGTTTTCCTGGATGTTAGTATGTAATTTTTTTTCTAATTACGAAAATTATAATTTTACATCACTTTTCTACATTGATGGATCAGTGACCGCTTGGGCATTCCTGACAAAAAGCTTGTGTTTGTGTGTACAGAAATTTCACTGTGTGTTTCAGAAATTGAAACTATTCACCCTCCCTGTTTACTGTTATCATCAATAACGTTACCTGATTAGCACTAAAGTTCAGAACATACAAAAACAGAAAAAAAAAAACTTAATATTACCTATGAAATGTTCTGCTTTTGTGCTTTGTTTTCTTTGTTTGCTCGTTACTACACCCGTTGACAGCGCTAGTCCCGCATCTTTACGTAATAACACTGTCTTGACTAGTGCGGATGAATGACTCTTGTCCTGGGAGCACTGTACCAATGTGGCGGCGCTAATGACGCATGCTCAGGGTCCCTATGCGATATCTAGTGTATATATCTATGGATAAGTTTTTGGGCAGACTACTGCTTTTAATATACGTTTAAATTCAACAATAGAATTAAGTACAACATTGTTCACAGTGAGTAGATAGTGGTAATGTTAGAAGTCTTTCATATATATCCGTTCGAATATTCAAAGTAACATCGTAAACAGACATAATGGACGAATGTGCGAATATAAAACCAACTTTACCTCTATGTTAAGCAGAAACTGTCAAATCAAATGGCTGATTACGGCTGAAATTAGCTGATTAGTACTCAACCAAAGGTGAGCACAAAAGTTTAGCAGTAATGTCAAAAATGATTGAAGATCCCATATAATGAAAATCTGGGTATGTAAGCGAAATAATTAGGTTTTCTATCCCTAGATTAAACAGTAATGGTACAATTGAAATCTCTTTGACAAAAAAAAAGACTTTATATATAACAGTGAAGCAATATTCCGCCATGGACAAAAGAAAGGGGCTTTATTTTGATGTAAAAAAAAAAAAAAAGATTTTTCATCCATTCAAAATACAAAAATGTATTGATAACTGTCAAATATATGATGTAAATGACATTTAAAAAGAAAATACTACATAAATATGAGAAAGTACACTCTCAGAAAAAAGTGGTACAATGTTGTACCAAAGATGGTACAAACCCTGGTCACTGGGGCAGTACCTTTTTATGGAACATAATTGTACCTTAAGACAAAGAAACAATTTTGTACCATTGCAGTTTGTACATTTAAGGGCATGGTTTGTACCATGGGAAAACAAAATGTAACTTTGGTTTTTAAAACCTGCAGATAAAATATTGTACCTTCTTCAAATGTACAAATCTGATACATGAAGGTATTACAGTGACAAGACACTTTGTACCTTAAAAGGGTCAAATGTGTTCCTTCAAGAACTATTTAAAGACATTTTGCTATATCCAAAATGCGTAAAAAATTCTGTAAATATTAAACATCAAATACATTTTAAACAATGTTTTTTTTAAGTTTCTTTTTGTGTGAATGCACCTTTTCCATTGACAATAAAGAATAAAAATACTTTAACATAACTTTAACACTAAAATGTTACAGAAAAAACTTTCTCCCATGTACAATATAAAACATTTGTTTTCTCCAGTTTCACACAATACCTTTGTAATCACTTAAAAGTCTATTTAATTGACTTAATATTAAAGTAGAAATAGAATTATGCAAAACTAATGTTTAATTATTCATAAAATCACGTTGCCTTTCCAGTAATGTTTATTTTCATAGATATTGTAATAAAGAAGGAGATGTCCAACACTTATGTACCTTTTTATGAGAACAATTGAGTACCTTCATTTCAATTGTACCATAAAAGGTGCAGAACAGTATTGAAGGAACTCATCGGCATATTGCAGTGGTTAACACAAGTTGAATCTGAAATCTTGGGCATCTCCAATGGTCTCATTCATTGAACTAGCTTGAGGGCTTATACCATCAGGATAACAGAGCTCCAATTGATTTCGGGCTCCTCTGACTAGTACTTCTATGCAGATGTTCTGGTACCCTTCGGCTAACTAGCCAATGATTAATTAAACCAGTTAAATTAAAAACAATGGCCCTTACAGGATCTTCAGCGGAAACCATTTCACGAGACTTTTAATTGACTCCTGGTCATGTGCTCGCCTTGGGCATATCCTGCGAGAAGCACAATTTCGTAGAGACAAAGAGATCTCTAGAAACATTAATGCATATGAACAAAAGCTAATCTCTTAATGTTAGAACTAAGGCAGATGTATCTTTGAATAATATGCCATAATGTTCCATATATGCTGTTTATTCCAATCAACTAGGTTAATCAATGTGTTGTTTTAACCCTTATAACAGAGTAAAATAATCTGTATGTGTCTGAAATGTATGATGTCTGGTATTGAACAAAAGCTAGTGACATTTGCAATATGTTGGTGTAAATGAAAAACTAGTAGTACAAACAGTATTCTTCTTGTAACGTTTGATGTAGGACAGTTTCAATCTTGCAAGAGTTCTACCACGTGAAATCTACATGCAGTCTGTTAATTAATGACCTTTCCTACGTCAGTATGGGGCGTGGCCCCACCCTTCATGGCAGCTGCTCATTGGCAGACAGTGCCATGGGGACGAACCAGACCAGGTCACTTAAAAACACCCTGCAACAAAGAAACTTTGCTTTTTGCATCAGCTAGCTTGCGCATGCTTTTGCTCTCTGCCCCCTTTCGCCTGCCCGGACAACGCGTCGCCACGCGATTGGGTCACTATGAACTTCCACGCAAACCTCTTAAGTTTCGGGACTCCCGAAGCTGCATGAACTTCCGCAAACCGACTCTCAGCAGTCTGTCACCTCGGTAACCCAGGACAACAGCCATTCATGAGCGCGTGAATCCCAAAGACGTCATCGAAGCGAGAAACTACCCAATCAGAAGCACCGTGTTTCCCCAAGGCCAGCCGGCGAGGGAGATTCGACTTCAGCAAAAAGGGCGCAAGTAACACAAACTAATGTTGTCTCTTGCTGATCTTGTGCAGATTGATCTTAAGCAGTTAAAGATAAGCCATATCTCTGCTTTTGTGGTTTCTCAGGTGTTATTCTAAGATCTTGTAAGAAGTATTAGAATTAATTTGGGACGTTGTCAACTCATATTGCATCCTCTGAACTACCTCTGTGTGTATGTGTGAATGTGTGTGTGCGTTTGTTTGTTGTTTGCTTATTACGTAGTTAGTTTCATGTATCGTAGTGTAGCTCAATAAATCTTTGTACTCATTTTGTAAGAACTGTGTTCTTGTTTGTGTGCTTCTAAGTCATTGCCTCGAGCTGTAGATCTTGTTACCTTGCTAAACAAACATCCAATACTGTGTTATGTTATTATCGTTGGCCACGTAAATAATATTAACAAGATTGGTGAGATACGATGTCTTCTATTTGCGGGACAAATGGTAGATAAAGTGTGAATCTTTTAATCTGATTCAATCTGACTCAATTGAGTCGAATTGAGGTACCTTCAGGATCCGATTCATTGAAATGAGCTAATAAACCCCTGATCGATATTAAAACGTAGGTTGATCCCCTACAGTATCATAAGAGTTCTTTTCTGTACCATATAAGATACAACTTTTGCAAAGGTACAAAAGTACCTTTTTCAGACTGTATAATGAAAGTAGTCTCCTGGAGTTCAACAAAATCTTTTGTTTTGGAATAAAAATGACTCTTTTAACATAATTTGACTTTCGTCATTCTTATTTTCTTAATTTTCCAACATTCACTTCCACAGACCTTCAGAGAAATTAAGTCACAGTGGCATTTATACCTTTTTCTGTTACAGTCTGTACCAAGGATCATAATGGAGAGACCCTGGCTAGAGAGGAACTTCTAAAATGTTGGTCAACACTTATTTTTCTTTGCCAAATTTCAGAACCAGAAAATATTTTCATGCAACTAAAAAAAGTTTGATTTGAACATGCACTCAACTAATATTTAAATGCAACACTTTCGTTTTTGCTCCCTTGTTTAATGAGCTGAACTCAAAGATCTGAGACCATGTACAAAAGATGCATATTTCTCTCAAATAATACCAGGTGTCTGGTGTGTCCACCATTTGCCTCATGCAGTGCAGCACATCTGCTTGACAAAGAGTGATCACGGTGTTGATTGTGGACTGATGGTCGACTCCTCTTTAGTGGTTGTGCGAAATTGCTGGATATTGGCAGGAACTGGAACAAGCTGTCATATACACTGATCCAGAGCATCTCAAACATGCTCATTGGGTGACATATCAGGTCAGGATGCAAAAACTGGGATGTTTTCAGCTTCCAGGAATTGACAATACCGATGTTTGTGGATGAACGGCACAACAATGGCTCTCAGGGTTTTTTGTCGAGGTATTTCTATGCATTCAAAATACCAATAATAGCATGCCTCACATACCATAATTCCAATGCCACTATTATCAATTTGATTCAGAATGTTGACTTCAAAAACCGCTCATCCACACAACAGCATACAAACTGTCTGCCATCTGCCCTGTAGAGTGAAAACCAATATTCATTCTTTAAGAGGACACTAGTCTCCAAAGTGCCAGATACCATCGAATGTGAGCATTTGCCCACAAAAGTTACAAACTGTACAACAACAAACTGCAGTCAAAACCCAATGAAGATGAGGAGCATGCAGATGAGCTTCCCTGAGACGGTTTCTGACTGTTTGTGCAGACATTCTTTGCTTTTGCAAAGTGATTGTTGCAGCAGCTGTGATTGTGAGGCCAGTTGGATTTACTGCCAGAATCTCAGAAATTCCTTTAGGGATGGCTTACGATAATTTATGGGAAACAGCTGTGGTGGACATTCCTGCAGTCAGCACACCCTATGACATGTAACACGTTGTGGAGTTTAGCACATTTTAGATAGGCGTTTATTGTGGCCAGTCTAAAGCTGTGGTTACACTAGCTAAATTCTGTTGTGTGCTGCACAACACATTCACATGTGTATGAACAAAAGTCTTTAGGGTGAAAAACTCAGCCAGACTGTCTGCAGCACACCTGTCCAATAGTCATGCTGTCTTATCAGCATCCTGATGCCAAAGGAGAAGCACTTTAGCAACGAGACCAACAGCCTGTAAGTACATTTAGACTTGTTTCAGTTGTTGTGTATGGTTTGAGGACACTTAAGACTTGTTTTGAGCTTTTGTGTAAGGTTGTAGGACATTTAAAACTTGTTTTCAGTTGTGTATAGTACTAGAAAAGTTTACCCACTGTTTCCTTAGTTACTATAAGAGCTTGTGTGTTGAGCGCGGACGGTTTCTCGTTGTCCGCCGCAGTTTCGGGCGTTGTTTTGCTCTCGAGGCGTGTCCAGCTGAATTCAATCAGCTAGTGCTCTGGGTGTCCAGCTGAATTCAATCAGCTAGTGCTCTGGTTGTCCAGCTGAATTCAATCAGCTAGTGAAGCTATTCACTAGCTGATTGAATAGTGAGTAAATGAGATGGTGTAAAGACCATCGCCTCTACCTGCGTGACTCCACCGAGCAAAGACACAGACAAAGCACTTGAGTACTTTACTTTCTTACTTTACTTTATCTCTACACTTAATTTTGTTCTCATTGCACTTTTATTATGTATTTACTAATTCCTGTTGTTACTAACACTCGCAAAGCACGGGAGGTACGCTGCAGGCGTAATCCTCACAACCTTTGTTCAATACATGTATCTGCTATTTCACAACTCACTCTCTCCGTGGGCCTCTGGAATTGTCAATCAGCTGTTAACAAGGCAGATTTTATTACCTCTATAGCTACATATTCTGACTATAATCAGAATAACTAGGCCTGGATGAGGCCGGAGGACACTGCTACACATGCAGCTCTTTCTGCTAATTTCTCTTTTTCCCACACTCCTCGTCAGACAGGGAGAGGGGGTGGGACTGGACTACTGATTTCCAAAGAATGGAAATTCACTCAGAGACCGTCCCTGCCAACAATCAGCTCCTTTGAATTCTATGCAGTCTCCATTATCCACCCCTTCTACATAAATGTGGTTGTCATCTAACGCCCACCGGGTACAATAGTTTACTTCTTAGATGAACTGGCTGTTCTTCTCTCATCTTTTTCTAATTATGACACTCCCTTGTTGGTGCTAGGTGACTTCAACATTCACATTGACAGACTTCCAGACTCTGCTTGCCTCTTTTGACTTCAAAAGAGTACCTACTTCTGCTACTCACAAATAAGGTAATCAGCTAGATCTTATTTACACACGACATTGCTTCGCTGATCAAACACTAGTATATCTACTACAAATATCAGATCATTTCCTTCTGTCCCTCAACATCCACATTACTCCTGAGCCGCCACACACTCCAACACTGGTTGCCTTTCGCAGAAACCTATGCTCTCTCTCACCCACTAGACTATCCACCATTGTTTCAGACTCTCTTCCTCCATCTGGCAAACTCTCTGTACTTGATACAAACAGTGCCACTGATACACTGTGCTTCACACTAGCATCATGTCTAGACAGATTATGTCCTCTTACATCTAGGCCAGCCCGTGCCAGTCCTCCTGCACCCTGGCTCTCAGATGCTCTACGTGAGCATTGCTCGAAACTTCAGGCTCCAGAGAGAATTTGGCGGAAAACTAAAAATCCTGCACAGCTTTTAACCCTCTGGGGTCGAAGACAGCGTATACACGTTTTGACCTGTGGTGGCGTCAAACTGCTGAAATGAACTTAAATGATACTTTCAGTTTTGATCGTACAGATAAGATCAATACATCAATCGAATCTGTTATGTGTCTTCTTTCTGTTGTGTACACTCACAACAACAACAAACGTGTGTGCTTTTGCAAAATAAGGAAAACAAACAGTGTAGGCATTCTGTCTTTTCTCTCTCCGTGAACTGCTTTTAGAAACGCGTCAGTAAAATGCGCTGAAACTCCGCGAATACTAAACGCACACAGATGAGACATGCATTTCTAGAAAGCTTAAAGTGTCTACTTTTAAACACAGCTATGCATGTTGAAAATAAACATTGCTTGATAAAGTAATCGGTATGAAACCAACGCTATGTCTAGTTTCTCAGTCTGATCTCGTTAGTTTTAATGCGACCACGCCTATGGGGCATTGTTATTACAAGCGTCTGAAGACGCGAGCAGACTGTGGTCAGAAAAACACGTCACTAAAATGAAAGGAAACTCGGCAAATAGTCAACAAAGATGATGATTTATGATATCTATATAAAGCTTGATATGTCTACTTTTGCATTAACCAATTCAAGTCGTAAACAAATGATCTCTTTTTATGTAATCCGTATAAAAGTAAGGGCTGGTACGGATTCTCCTATATTGCCTCATTACAGCAGCGTGGTCCCGCCTCTCAGTAAGCGCGCTTCATATGTAAATCCAGATGTGAAAACAATGGAGGTAAAGGACCAGTGGCAAAGAGAGCTAAAGTAGACAAGAAGTGCTCTGAGTTTGGTCAGTAATGCGAGTAATGCTGGTCCGTGTGTCATGCCAACAAACTGTTAAATAAAGATGTAGCCTTCAACGTCACAAAAATTTATAAAAATGCTACAAAAGTGGACCAGGATCAAATAATCCTGTGTCTCTGAGTCTCCGCTGATGTCAAGAAGAAGGCCAGGTGTTACAGTGAAATACTGCCTTTTTCCTGCGCCCCTCCTCATCAAAAGATACCTGTCAGCAATTCTACATTTCTAAGTGTCCTTTGTACGTTTATTCCTTAAATAATCACTGTGAATACTGAATGAGAGGATGATCACTTGAGCCAAAAGCTGCTGTGATGCGCGCGACTGTTTAAAATATTTCATTATCGCACATGGTGTGTTTTTCACCTGCTTTCTTGTGCTCACAGTTATTTTTGTTAATATAGATTCATTCTATAAAATAACATTGCTCTATTATGAGATTACCAAAACTAACTCAGAATCGTATTATTATAATTCAAACTTAGTATACACTATTCCATATATTATGATGTATTGTTTTTTTAACTAATTTAAAATGTTTGACAATTTTAAGATAATATGTTGCATTTAGGCATGTTTTTTTTTTTTTTTTACTTATTTATAAACTATTTATAGACAATCTTCATTTACAAAAAAAAAATAAAAAATCTGTAGATTTGCTATGTGTAAGTTTACAAGTTTGATGAGTTTTACAGTGTGCACTGACTCTCACAAAAGTATCTCTTGTTTTTTTGTGATTAATATACTTTAAATAAACTGCAAACAAAGACGTATAGAAACTTTCCTCTAACTCCTCCTTGAAACTCTTCCCTCCTAGTCACATACTGTACCTGTCTGATGGCTCATTATGCAGCTCATTATGCAGGTCTTTGTCTTCAGGTGTGACTCACTGCATAGTAATGATAGTTCACACCTTCTCGAATAAATCAATTTCACTTAAAAAGTGACTTAGAATTTTCAATTCATTATATTGTTTTCTGTGAGCAAGTTAACAAAATGATTCTCACATCATTTTGAAGCAAAAACACTAGACTACCAGATCCAGTTCTCAAAAGTCTTGTGCACAAATGTTCTCTGTGTGTTTCACGGCCTTGTTTCAGTGACTTCAAAATTTTAGTTTTTCACTAACCACGCATAAACGTTTCTTTCTCAAAAACACAAACATGCTGCTTAGGTATTATTGTAGCCCAACTTGTGCTGTTTAAAGTGTTATCACACTTTAGCCAATAATATGTTTTTAATATACTGAAAACCACACAAATGTCAGTGCATGTCAGAACTTCTCCAGAACCCCAATTCACCCTTAGACCCCAGCGGGTTAACATACCAAACTCGTCTGTCTTCTTTCTCGGCTGAGGTTACTTCTGCATAGCAGACATATTTCCGTCAGAAAAATCAACAATGCCACTAATCCTCACCTACTTTTTAAAACATTTCCCTCCCTCCTCTATCCTCCTCCTACACCCGCATCCTCCACACTTACTACTGATGACTTTGCTACATTCTTTAGCACCAAAACTGCAAAAATCAGTGCTCAATTTGCTGCACCTACAACAAACACGCAAGGTACACCACCGACACCACACAAACTCCCCTCTTTTTCCTCAGCTCTCTGAGTCTGAGGTGTCCAAACTCGTGCTGTCTAGTCATGCAACCACCTGTCCACTTGATCTCATTCCCTCTCATCTCTTGCAAGCCATCTCTCCTGCTGTCATACCAACACTGACTCACATAATTAACACATCTCTTGACTCTGGTTTATTTCCCACTTCATTTAAGCAGGCTAGGGTAACCCCACTGCTAAAGAAACCCAACCTGGACCATACACTACTTGAAAACTACAGACCAGTATCCCTGCTTCCATTCATGGCCAAGATTCTGGAGAAGGTAGTGTTCAATCAAGTCCTGGACTTTCTTACTCAAAACAATCTCATGGACAACAAGCAATCCGGCTTTAAGAAAGGCCACTCAACTGAGACTGCCCTGCTCTCGGTTGTGGAGGATCTCAGACTGACTAAAGCAGACTCAAAATCATCAGTACTCATCTTGCTGGATTTGTCAGCTGCTTTTGACACTGTAAACTACCAGATCCTGCTATCTACGCTCGAGTCACTGGGCGTTGTGGGCACTGTTATACAATGGTTCAGATCTTACCTCTCTGACAGGTCATTCAGGGTGTCTTGGAGGGGAGAGGTGTCCAACCTACAGCATCTAAACACTGCGGTACCTCAAGGCTCTGTTCTTGGCCCACTTCTCTTCTCCATCTACACAACATCTCTAGGACCAGTCATCCAGAAACATGGATTCTCCTACCACTGCTATGCTGATGATACCCAGCTATACATCTCTTTTCATCCTGATAATCCCTTGGTTCCAGCTCGCATCTCAGCCTGCCTGTCAGACATTTCACACTGGATGAAAGATCATCATCTTCAGCTTAACCTTGCAAAAATGGAAATGCTTGTAGTTTCTGCCAACCCGACTCTACACCATAACTTTTCAATCCGATGGATGGATGGGGCAAACATTACTGCATCCAAAATGGTGAAAAGCCTTGGAGTAACGATTGATGACCAACTAAACTTCTCTGACCACATTTCTAGAACTGCTCGATCGTGCAGATGTGCACTCTATAACATCCAAAAGATCCGACCCTTCTTATCTGAACATGCAGCTCAACTCTTTGTTCAAGCTCTTGTTCTCTCCAGACTGGATTACTGCAACTCTCTTCTAGCGGGGCTTCCAGCTAACTCTATCAAGCCTCTTCAGCTGCTCCAGAACGCAGCAGCACGAGTGGTCCTTAATGAACCTAAAAGAGCACGTCACTCCGCTGCTCATCCGTTTGCACTGGCTGCCAGTTGCTGCTCTGATGTTTGCCTACTAAGTGACGTCTGGCTTTGCTCCTTCTTATCTGCTCTCACTTTTGCAGATTTATGTGCCCTCCAGAAACTTGCGTTCTGTGAATGAACGTCGCCTCTAGGTTCCATCCCAAAGAGGGAAGAAATCACTTTCCCGAACGCTCGCATTCAATCTGCCCAGTTGGTGGAATGAACTCCCTAACTGCATCAGAATGGCAGAATCACTCGCTGTTTTCAAGAAACGACTAAAAACTAAACTATTTAGTCTCCACTTCACTTCTTAATCTGCAATGGCCTGTCTGGATATACCACTAACTGTACTCAAAAAAAAAAATACTAATGCTTTCCTTCTTAGACTTTACAGACCTGAAACTTGCCTATAGCACTTATTCACACCGAATATTAACCATTAACAGACAGATATTCAAATATTATTTAATATAAAAAATTGACATTTTCTATTTTGTGACCCTTTAAATATTTTTAAATACTGATTTATTTTAACATGCTAACAGCATACAGAACATAACAGAACATCTTCATGCACCTGCAGTGTTTCCGACAGCATAGAAAAAAGAATCAACTAAATAAAAACAATAAAACAACAGGCCTGCCCTAGATATTTTTCACTGAAATGGCAAATTTTAATTACAAAACGAAAACACTGACTGAATCCTTAAGAACCGGCATAGGCTGTTTGTCCAATCGTTTTTTTTTCCGTCAAATAAAAATATCAGGCTATTAAATCGATCGCTCCTCTGGAAACATGCATCTAATTAATGCTTCGTTGTTATTATTATGTCACAAAACCCATTTTAACATTTTATTAGAAGTCATTAGCTTAAAGATTGTCATAATGACATATTTCCCCCCGTCTCACTCGTGGTTCATGTGTGCACGCTGCCAGTGCGTTTGAACCTAAGGGCTTGTATGTTGACTTTTTGTAAAGTATAGGCTACTATAGCATATAACAGCATATGCATACATGTTTTATAAGCAAGAAAATAAAGCTTCAGTTTGGTGCAGAGTTATCATTATGAAAAATGTAAGAAAATCATTGGATTTGTTTTATTCATAGATTATGTAGGCTATTTTAAAAATTGATATTATATAAGAACTATAAATAACACATTTTCTAAATGGAAAAAGTTGATTTGTTAGTTGAACACTAAGTCATCAATAGCCTATTTATTAAGTTTATGACGCGGCTTCAGGCAGCACAGAGGCGATCAGCATCAGCGCTGGTTTGAGTCAAACTGTAACCAGAAATATCCTTTTTTTCATTTTGCTTTGCTTCTTTGACAAAATCCGTCTGTAGGCATGTGTGGTTGCACGTGTTACTGTCCCGCGAGTTAACAAATATGTGTTGCACATTAGGGGCCGATCACACTTTTCTGTTCTAAAAACGCGAGGTGGACCTCACTGCCTTTTATGTTGACAAGAAAAAAAGAAGCGCGATGCTCTTTTTCAATGTCACTATAGGAAACGACTGAATCAGCTGGTCTATTGTGCGCGAGTTTTGCTGTCCATGTTGATATATTGTAATATATAATAACATTGTGATGTTCATGATTTGTAAAGTAATACAGCTCTGGATACTTGAAAATGCGACCACAAGTCTCTTCTCCATTATTAAAAGTTACCTGTTGTTCTGACAACACAAACACTGCAGGCACTTTAACAGAAACCCTGCCTCTGCTTTCATTTTATTGAAGAATGAAAGACGCGACAGACGTAACAAGTTTTTCCGCTCAAGGTTGAGTTTTATTTCAACCACGAGCACACAGCACACAACAGTATAACGTGAGGCATGCAGGGCGCATAATGCCTAGTTCACACTAGAGGATTTTAAGCCTGATTTGAGCCCGATTTGGAAGTTAACGAGCTCGCCGACAGATTGCGCTGTGATCGGGAAGAAATCTGCGGGCGCTCGGCGCTCTTTATGTGTGAACTACTGAACAATGCATCAACGAGGCTCGCTGACGCGTCGCAGACACCTCGCAGACGGAAATCCAACATTCAGCATGCTAAATATTCCAGAGCAGTCGGCTGACTCAACCACACGTGTGGTCAGATGTAGTGACGAGCTGCAGCCAATGAGAGAGCATATCAGCATGAGCTGAATGCCTGTGTGTTCAGGAGCTCAGCAGAAACATCTGATTGGTCAGAATGGGCATCGGTGCACTCGCTTCATTCTGCGTTAACACAGACATGAGAGTAGGCTATATTAACAGTGGAACTAGAATTGTGTAACTATTAGAATTACCATACTGCTCATTCTGACCGTTCTCATATAAAGCGCCATATTGTCACAACATATTTACATTCAAAGCTATTATTGAGATATTAAAATTAAGCTTTGAATGTCTGGCATCATATTTAATGACACCATTACCCTAAAAATATAATCTTTTTTTTTGTAATACAGCCTATAAATATGTAGTTAAGATACTAAAACACTTAAAGGTCTTGGCTTTCATTTTCACTTTCAAACAGGAGCTATTTAACAGCACAGAATATGCAGTTTTGAAAGATATCTGAAGTAAATTGATGTTTTTGCCATCAGAAAGTTTTGTTTATGTTAGCAGGAAGTTGCCAGGCAAGAAAATGCACACATTTAAAGTCACAGCGAAAAGTATCAGACATGCATGCAGTCATTTTGACCAATATGGTATTTTAAGGCAGAAATGCTCAGTTCTTTACTGTTTTGTAATAAAATAAAATAACAATGTCAGAAAGAAATACACTAATAGTTAGAAAACGGCAGGGTGTTATAAATATGTTAGTTTTATTTTTCAAAGAGTTATAAAATTACAAAAATTAAAAACTCTCTGTGTATCTATCCACTGGAACCTGCAGATGAGTGAATAATCCGCTAATAAATCAGCTGATTTGACAATGTTTTTAAATGCTTTCTCCAAAGCTTGAAACGCTGTCAGTGATGTAATCAGCACACAAGCAGCCAATAGTGTTCAGCTTTTTCTGACGACTCCTCCCTCAAATTTTCATTGGCTGTGGTTTGGTAGCTTGAATGAGCTGATGGGGAATGAGATGTTGTCAGATCATGTAGTGTGTGACCCCCCTCTTGTGGATCGTTCACGGAGTGTTGCGTAGTGTGAACACCACAGAGATTAAAAGACACAAAGTCAAGTCATGTAGTGTGATCAGCACAGCGATCTGCTGATGTTTAAAATCCTGTAGTGTGAACTAGGCTTAAGCAGTGCGTAAAACACTCACGGCTGTTAGTAAACCATTCAAAAAATACCCTTCTCAATGCAAAAAGCGCGTTCGCTGTAATCAGCCCCTTATGCAGCCAAAATTTTAAATATAAAAAGTAATATAATTTAATGTCGTTTAACTGATACCATTAATCAGTTACAAATGCACCATTTCTGTTAACGGTTAATCAGTTATTTTGAGCATCCCTAATAGAAAAAAATATTTGAATTCAGCTCTTGAAAATGAGAGCAAAAATGAAAGTGTTGTGTTTATATTTAACTGTGTATTTGTGCTCCTATTATTGTAACTTATTCTTGTTCGTAGATGCCTGTAATCTCACTCTTGATCCAAACACGGCACATGAAATGCTCTCAGTTGCAGAGGACAACAAAACATTGGTGCATAACTCAGAGCCGATGATTTATCCTGATCACCCAGACAGATTTACTGGCCTCCCACAGATTCTGTGTAAAGAGAGTCTGTCTGGACGCTGCTACAGGGAGGCTGAGTGGAAAGGACTGGGTGACATGGTGGTGTCCTATGGAGGAATCGGAGAAAGGAGAAAGTCTTGATTGTCGTTTCGGAGCCAATGATGGAGTCAGTGACTCTGTGTGATCTGAACTCTTTCACATGTACAATCACACACATGTGATTAAAACGTTTATAACTCAAACCTTTACCTGCTGAAATTAAACTTTTTTTTTTAAGCTGAGGCTTGGAAAAGATATGCAGTGTTGGTCATAAATCACAATTTAACAGTGTTTTCAAACATATAGTATTTATTTTAGGTTTCAGACACTCAAATACACATAACTACTAGCAAAAAGCAACATTTATGATTTGTAAAATACACGCTGGTGACTATGGAGGTGGCAATAATAATTATTTTTAAATATAACTGCACAATGTGCTTTATTCATATTAGAGACACACTGTTTCAGGAGTTCACACTTAGCTGATGATCCATCAAAAGCTTGTTTGGCACGCTATCCCGGGAGAGAGCCCTGAGCTCAAGGGATCCTTGAGCCCAGGGCTTCCTCCCGTTTGCAGAGCAAGAAGGGAGCTTGAGCTCACGTGTATCTCAAAAACTCCCCGGCTGCAGTAGCTAAGGGAACACTTGAGAAGAAGGAAGCTAGACAAGTGCCTGATTTGTTAAATCTGTTATGCATTATGTGTATCTTTAAATGGTGGGAGGAAACCGGAGAATCCGGGGGAAACCCAAATGGACATGGGAAGAATATACAAACTCCTCACAGAAACACCCACCGGCCTGGTGGGGACCAGGGCGGGCAATGTTCTTGCTCTGGGCTTAACAGTGCTAACCACTGGGCCACCATGCCGCTCGATCTTTGGTAAAAGGGGAGGAAGGGGAGTATCTTCCAGAAGAAGATAAGTGTAGACTGAAGACTGGTTATTTATAGTAACTTAGGAATCATATGATTGGGAGATCATGATTAGCTAATGTGAGACCGGCTGTGATAAATCATAAGCACGCGATCCCTTTCGAAATTAGGGATGGCTGACGTGAAACTGACATTTCAACACAGTTTCGAGATCCTGAAGCGCAAGTGTTTCGAAACACTGCACCGAAGCATGATCCGAAACACCCAGGTCACGTGACTAAAGTGATTCAAAGCATCGATCAGTTAAGAAGCGTTTCGAGACCTGGCAAATCTACATGTTACTGCCGGAGTCTGATTCTTTACTTGTCTCATATGGCCTAGTGGACTGTGCGTGTGCATGCTGTTACTATTTTTCCAATGTCTTTTGGGTTCGAATCCCGACTTGTACAAATACTCCCAAATCATGGTTTTATGTATTTTAATCATATTTCTGTTTTATGGTGTAGCCTAAATAGATTACAGCTGCAGATACGCCATCAATATAGCATCATTTTTGTAACACTAAAACAATAATAAATATTTTTACAGTACTAATGGTTGGGTTTAGGGTTTGGGTAGACGTTAATGAAATACAATAAATGGGAAATTTAATGAATAATATAACATTCTTGATACCTTCTGGCCACAACTGTGTCTAATCTAGCAATAACCGTTTTAATATCAAAACAAGACCTATTTATTCAAAAAGTGTTTATTCGGATGTCAGACCAATGTTAAAACAAAACGAAACAAGAACAAAACATTACCAACTGGTATTAAAGCATTTCGAAATAGCTGTATCTGCCTAGATTCGAACCCACTATGCCCACATGGAAGTCAGAAACCATAACTGCTCCACTAAATCTCTTGAATATATATTTCTACAAAGTGGGGTTTAATACCTCAATTTGCTAAAATGTTCTTGCTGAAGCTGTTTCGGTGCAATACATGAATAAATGACCACTAGGTGTTACCGTAGAGTGGGGTTTCGAAACGTTTCGAAGCTTTGACTCATTTGCTTCGATTGTTTCAGTGTTTCATGAAGCCTCGCTTTGCCCACCACTACTCAAAATGAGTTTAGAAATAAACTTCATTTATTTTACTCCAACATTTACTCTATTACGCTTCCAGTTAAACAGACAGGAAAATGATGAATAAACGTGTTGTAAATCCAGCAGCTTAAATCTCCTGCGGAACCAGAAGTGTCCAAACTCTGTCCTGCAGATTTTAGCTCCAACTTGCCTTAACACACCTGCAAGGATGTTTCTAGAAAGCATTGTAAGAGCTTGATTAGCTAGCCCAGGTGTGTGTGATTGGGGTTGAAACTGAACTGGACAGCCCGAGTTTGGACACCTCAGGTTTAAAGACTCATAACCCTTCATTTATTAAATAATATGATCATATATTTGAGAATTGGAGTATATATGGATATTTCACAATATAATTTGCATGTTGGTCAGTGCTTACAGTAAAGGGAAACAAAACACTATATATACGTAACTCATTGGGGCTGCGGTGTGTCACCTAACTTAAAATAACTTTCTCAATCACAGTCGCGATAAAAAAGCTCACGCAGGGCGGACAGCAGGAGTATTAAGAACTGGTAAAAGGGATGAACAACAGAGCGGATCATTTCTGTACACTACGAAACACAAAGTGGCTCTCAAAACTATTTGGACAGTTAAGACTAAAGATGGGATGGTACCTATAAATAAAAACCCGAACCATTCAATTCACAGCACAGCGTTTCTTATTTTTTAAATCGTTCCACACATAAAAACATCCTATGGCTTCACAAGAATTGGAAAGCAACATGATTTTTTATATGGTTGTGTTTGCAATAAGTACACGACTCCACTTTTATCTACTTTTATTATTATTGTAGTAAGTATGTTTGCAGTAAGGTATGGCGTAGAACAGGTGATCTAAAATCTTTCTGAAAGTGCATTTATAAAATGATTCATATTTTACGAATGCACTCAAACCACTTAACTGGACGCATAATGTAAATGACCATAAGTGTCTGAGGACCGCATGCTTCGTAAAAGAAAACAAAAAAAAAAACTATTTAAAAATAGTTAAAAACTATTTGGTATTTGACTGCAGTTCAGTTAAATTGTTACACCATTATATGACAATAAGATATTGTAAGTCAATATAGCAGAAACCTTTATATTGAAAGGGAACAATCAATGATTACGTTTACATGAACATCAGTAATCAAATTATTTGCCTTAATCTGAATAAGATGATGATATGATTGAGGTGTTTACATGAGTTGCTTTTTCAATGCGCCTTTCATGATCCTGTTTTACATGCTATAGCACATATTTCAATTAACGTCATTGCATCACCACATTTCCTCTGAAGTTTCATGTAATTTCGGGTGTTTCATTTTTAATTTGTCAACTTTAACTGCAGTTTGGCACTTTTACTTTCATTTAGGATCCGTGTACGTTTTGCAGTGGTGGAAAAAGGGTACTGAAAAATCATACTTGAGTAAAAGTACCAATACCCGCCTAAAAATGTAGTTGTAGTAAATCTGTTGTAAATATTACTGAAAGAATGAGTAAAAAGTAGCCCTTTCAAAAGTACTCAAGAGTAGTGAGTATTACGCTGTTAAAAGCTGATGTGTTTACATCTAATTTGTGGATGTGTGTAAACGTAACATTCTGTAGTGCATCAAGTTACTGGCCAGCAGGAACACAACGTCACAAGACGTTAATATTAGGGTAGATTTAGGTCATGATGTCAGGTGACCAAAATTCAATGTCTAGCCTCTAAGGACAACATTATTTTGATGTCCAATAATGACATAAAATGACGTTGATTTTAGGTTATGTTAAAGTGACCAAAATTGAGCCAACATCTTAAACCAACATCATATTGACGTCCAATACTGACATTTATTCATCAGGTATGGCAACCAAAATCCAACGTCTGATGGACGTCATAGTGGTAACGTCCACACAACATCAAGCTGTAACACCATTAGACGTTGATTTTTGTCCAACACAAAACAAATGGTTAAAATATTCTACTACAAGCTAAATTTTTGCATTTGGCTTTGTGTCAGTCTCTCTCTTTTTGTTTTTTTTTGTTTTTGTTTCTGTGTTTACACACAAATAAATACTATTGTAATTTTTCATAGAAATGATGGTGATGATGTTTTTGAACCAAGCTATAGTAAATTGTATTATACTATATGTTATTTGCAACACTTTATTAAAAAATGCTAAAGCATGCTGTAAGTATTAAGTACTCGTAAACTGATGAACTAATTAATACTGTAGTAAACTGTAGGTTTTTTTAGCCTATCAAATATAGATAATTTACAGCAGTTTATAAGTAACAAAAATACACTATTATTTCAGATTTAATGCCAAGTGAAAACCAGAACTGATTTTAATATTTTAAAGTTCTCAGAATGGTATATAAAACAGTTTAATAGTAGTTTTGCAATTGTGCAACTTATTTTTGTCTAGAAAGTCTTATGCTACATTGTGTTGTGACGACCCCTTGTGGTTGTTTGTGGCTGGGGTGTGGGTGTGTGTGTGTTGCAGGTCCAGCTGATAGCGCCGGGATTGAGAACACCGGTTTGTGATTTAGTTGCTCTGCTATAAATAGCGTGTCTGTTTCAGACGAGGAGCGAGGAGGCTGTTCGTGGAATCTGGTAACTTACTTTTCGTCTGGGATCGATCTTGGACCGGAGTGGGCTAGCAACATGACCTTCGATAATAGTAAATAAATATATTTTTTCTACCGCAATCGCACTCGACTTCTTATTTGTGGTGACCAGTTTAGGTCATAACAGTGTGGTTAAACTCAGCTGAAGTGATAAACCAAAACCAGAAACAAGTTCATATGGTCTTTTGAAAACTTATCACAAAAATAAAAAATATACAAAAACCATTATCATTTTTATATCATGTATTCAAATGACATTAATTAAAATCAAAAGTGCTGCTTGAAACTTCTCTGACTCTGTTTTCCTGCATCTGTTTTTGAACCCAGAAGAGTGAAGATGCACTCGCTCTGACAAGATCTGTTTCCACTGAGATGCTTCAACAAAACCGCTTCAACCAACTGAAAGAACAAATTATGTGGATTAAATTTAATGGCCATAAATACAACATGTATTTAAGTTCAACTATAATTTTACATATATACAATTACTCTGTTAATGGTTTTTCAAATAATGAATAGCTGCAACTCAAGTTTTTCAGAAGAACCAAAGTTCTACCAGCTTAATAAAAAGCACTAAAGGTGTGAGATGATGTTGAAAAAGTTTCTGTGTTAAATGTAATTCTCACCTGTTGCTCTTTTACATCATTACATGTTTTATCAGCACATCTTATCACCAAACCTAAAACAGGATCAAAATAAAAATCACAGAGACTCATAAAACTAATGTAAGATCAAACAGGAACAGATTATTAAATGTTTATAGATTTACAGTAAAAACAAGTTAAAAAGCTGATTTATTATCTAGTACACACCCATTGCCATAATGACGGCTAAAGTGCTGAACAGTACGTGATGATGGCCAAATTTCTCCATGATTTCTGATTTTGTAAAGTGTCATCTGATTTTGAAGTCTGGTTTTTGTGGACAAAATCTATCAATATCAAAATTGTATCATCTTAAATCAATGACAGCAATGTAGTATGGTATTAAATGTTGTTAGAGATCTGTTAGGTTTTAATATTGAACATATGAAAATAACTCACTGTTTGAGTAGATTCTGGTGCCATTGCTGAATTTCTGTGGTTTACTACAATAATTCATCAGTGCTGATATTTCTGATGAACAGACGGCTCTTTTCATGGAATATGTCATGGAGTATTTGTGTTTTTAGATGCTCTTTTCATAGTTTTTTCATATGTGCTTTCAAAATTGCATAAGATCAACTGGAGGATTAGGGCCTGGTTTTTCAAAAGTAATCCACTTGGATTTTGGATAAGGGATTGGATCAAATCTTGAAAATGGGTTTTTCAAAAGAAAAAATGGATTACCTAATCCGATAAGATCACGTAATCCAATCTTGGTTTTGATACGGATCAAACCTTTAGTTTGGGATTTTCAGACCTTTTTTGTAGGATCTGGATCACTTTGATCCAAAAAATCTGGATTAAACTGATCCTATCAGAAGGGTGGATTCAGCGTGGATTTCATGCCCAAAATGTAATAAAAACTTACTAAATTTATCAAATAATACTATATTTGGATCATGCAGTATCTTACAAGATATCCTATTCATTCATTAGGTTTTAATTGTATTTGTTCATCCTTCAGGCTCCAGTGATTATAGGCTTTAACGTACTCAGCCTTTCAGTATACGCCTACCGCAAAGTACAAAGAGTTTCGCCTCGGAAAATATTCCCCCAAACAGCTGTCAAAATTAACCAAAAACAATCAATTTTATTCTGTCACTAATTGATAGATATATATTCATCACAATAGAAAATATTTTCTTTTTAGAATACTTATTAGTGATGCATGCAATGATAACAGAATAACAAAAAAAAAAATGCAAAGAATGGCAATGGCTGATTTTTTAAATCACTTTTAACAATTGCAAAAAGAGACTGAAAAGGCAGAAGCACAGCTTCATCTGGCAGAGGAACAACTGACTGTCCAAACTGCAGCAAACCAAGGCTAGACTTGAGATCCGCCTCCTAAAGTCTATGCTCAGACAAGCTGGTCTCTCCACATCAAATGAGGAAGTCTGAAATTATTGTTGAGCTTTTGACATTGTCTTTTTTTATTCAATGCATCTACTGTATATTTGAAACTTGTTATAAATATCCTCAATGTACAGTGTTTGTGTTGTAGGTCTCAGATGAGCGGACTGCTGGATAAGGATGGGCTGGGGTTTTTCTTGTTTTTAGTTTTTTTTTTAATGTGTGCGTTTTCTTTTCAAATAAAAATAAAGTTTTACTGACCCCACACTGGCTATTCTACTTGTTGCTCTTTACATATTTATAGTTCTGCATTGTGATTTCCCATCCTGTTTGAGCACTGGTTAGATTTAGTGATCCTGAAAAGTTCCTATCCAGATCAGATTGATCCAATCCAATGTTGCTTTGAAAAACTGGCTCAAAAAGTAAGCTGGATTACGTGATCACGGATCGCAAAAACAGGATTACTAAATCCGGATCAATTTTATCTTGATTAAACCTTTTGAAAAACCGGGCCCTGGAAATTTTTGTCTGTACCAGTAAATCTCCTTTATATCAAGATCACAAGTTAAAATCACATCAGCTCCTAAAGTTACTGCTATGTTTGTTAGACTCTGTGGCTACCACATGAACAGACTTATTTATTTTATTATTATTATTTTAATTTTCGACAGAACAACAGTGGTATCTTGTACAAACATGTACAGCAGTTTTTGTTCTACATTCTAACAAATGCACACAAATGCTTCAAAGCAAAGACAAAAATAAAATATTATAAAACAAATTTAGAAAGACATATCGTCACCTTAGAATTATAAGGTTCTAGCTGACATTTTTGTCAAAATTGAGTTATCGACATATTTTTATTAAATGACAACTTATTTACATTATGGGATTTCTTTTTATTATTTATTATAAGTTATAAACTATATTATAAGTTGTTTACATTTTAAGACTTATTTAAAAAAAAAATACACACATACTGTTTGCTATATGGAATGCAAAAACTTTGAAGCTCAATGTCTCAGAATCATTCATAACGCAGATAGAACCTTATAATAAAAGGGGAGATAGAACCTTATAATAAAAGGTGACGATATAGTCACTGAGTACCCTCAAGAAAAATTCAGCAGGAGGACCAAATGCCCCGGAAACACATCAGATCTTTGATGTAAATCATAGGTCAATTTTTCCAGTGGTAGAAGTCTGGTTGCCTGACTCAGCCACATATTGTCTGAAGATATCTGAGCAGTTGACCGTAATAATAATAATATTAATAATAATAATAAACATATGTATATGCAAAACTTCAATACACATTCTTTATCATAAAACTTTATATTTATATTTAAAAAGCTCTTAATGGCAGTTAATGTATTTATTTTATTTTCATATAGAGTACCTCAAATATATACAAGTTGTAAGCAGTTAGGCGTACAATTATGCTCTTAATTTACACCACTGATTCATTTTAGAGGCATGCTTACATACTGTACATGTCTATGTATTTGAAAAAAAAGAGACAACAATTTGGTTATAGATTATGGTAATTATTATTATTATTTTTTTTTTTTTCAGATTTTATTACATGCTTTAGATTCAGGGTTAAGGTCATCCTCTTCTGGATTACAGTAAAAGAAAATCCGCAGTCAATGTCATACTCATCAGCTGGAGCTTTATTTAAAAAAATGTCTGTTATCTGCTCCAGCCAAAACTTGCAGGTACCTTGCAGGTCTCTAGATTGCACCCTCGTATTGTTGTTTATTTCTGTGTTATTTTGTTGCTTTCTGAGAATGATGATCCATAGACCTTTCAACCCCTCTTCGTTTAGGCCACATGTCGAATCTTAAAAGAAGAACACAACAACATTAAAATGTATTAACATCCTTTGGACTGGGTAACCTTATGCTTAAGTTTGTGCCAAATAATACAAATACATACTTTTCAGTAGCAAACAAGCAGGAAAGTTCTTTGAAGGAACCAGGATGAGTTGAAAGGTATTTATAGTGGTTGGCCATCTCTGCCACAAGAATCCTCTGCTTCTCCTGAAGAATCCTGACTAGCAAGAAGATGTTGAACGCCATTCTCTTTGTTGTTAAATCAACCGAGTCTGAAATGTATTCCTAAGAAGAAAGTTGTATCACACGGATTATACATCAACTTTTAAAGAATCAAAACTGACAGAAGTCTAGTGTACCATGCCATAAGGCAAATGCATCCATATCACTTCTTTTTTTTTTTGTTGTCTTTGCTTCTGCTACTGAAATATTACAATAATAGTAACACTTACAATTGTTCATGACTACATGTAATATTAATAGAAAATTTCTCATCTGCCCTCTCCTACATCACAGACCAAAGTCTTCCATTTGGTTTTCGGTCACTGCCAGTTCCATGGATTCTGTTTTGCAACTTGCTGTGCAGAGCTGTTGCACTCTACAGTGATAAGCAATCAAAAATCATAATACTATTCAAATAGGTTACTTAACAACTAAAACAAATACTACTGGATATCGTTACCTTCTGATATCAACAGGTGAGTGAGATGGCCGAATTGTTGAATATCTGCTAATTCCAGCACATGACAATGAGAGTTACAGTAGCATGTCTGGTCACTGCAATCCTAGAGAGGAAGCACTGCACTGTTCCAACCTCCAGCCCAACAGTCAAATCACACATATCCTGGTATGCCTCACTCCATTTCACCTGGTTAACATATACAAACAAACATATAAGTAAAGCAATAACAAAGTTTTGGCATCAGTTTAAGATAATCATATAGTTCACCTATCTCACATTTAAATTCATGTGCTTTGGCAACTTTGGACAGCTTTTTGCAACTGTTTGGAGGTAGTGTCAATAGTAAATGTAGTCCACAAATCCTCTAGTCAAGAACAAGTGCATAACAGTTTATATCTTCGAATCTACTTTTACTAGGTGAACATCAAAGAGCTGTTTTCTTGGTAATTTCGTTTCAACACATAGAGTTTAAAGTACCTAGTGCATTCTTGAAATGGTTATGCTTATGGTTCACATCTACTTAAATTGGCAGTATAGCTGGTGTGAAAGCAGAACAGATGAAAGGCTCTTCCTTGAAAATACTATCCACCTTGTATTGCACAGACTCCCACTCAAGAATATGTCAGAAAAATGTCTGCTGAGATCTTGGCAGTCTATTAAAAATCATTATACCAACATCTTTTCCACCAATGGGAAGAATATAAAAATATTTTAGGATATATCAATTTAATACTTGCATGACCAAATCAGATATAAAAAGGCCATCAGTATGCCTTAGTTTAAATAAAACCAAAATTTTACTCTAGCCCATTGTCACCTAGGTTTACAGATACAGGGACTAATGGAAACAATGAAGTACACACCGACAGTCACTGGAGCAAGGCTCTCTCACAGTTGGGAAGATTGGAGTTCCTATGAGCTGTACCAGATGAAAACAACAGAAAATTAACATTTATAACATTTCCAACTTATCCTAAGACTAGTAGACAAGCAGCATAAGCAGACTATATTATATGGATTTTGGATGATTACTGTTGTGGAAAACAACAGATCTGGTAACACTGTTCCTCATTTTCAAATGTATAACTATATTGTTCTGAGCTATGGACGACTATATGTGAGGAAAATATATGTTTTAATAAATGAACTTGGATGTAGTTTAGATAGCGTCGCTAGTTTACGGTACATGCTTTATTTATATCAAGTCTGCAGTCTTTTACTGCATCAGGAGATAGCTACCCTTCTTTTATAAAGGTTCTAAGCAAAACCTAATCTAAATCCACAAATCTTCTTCATTTGTTTACTTTTTACTTACCGAGTGGAAAACCGCAGTGGACCTTGGGATCGCAATGAATCTTGTTATTGAAACCATAGACTGTAAAAAAATAGGTCGCGACATACAATAACCCCAACTTCAATGAATAATTTAAAAGTAAAAAGATCAGCTAAAAATAATTTTTAAACTTAGTACTTTCAATGTAATATTTTTTAAAGTAAAAAAAAAAATACAAATATAAATGAATCGATAGTTTTATCAGGCATAATTACCATAAACTGGGCAATTGAATATAATTTCACTCATTAAATGTAAAGTAAATGATAACATATTTATCAACACCAACTAATCTCCAATAAAAATAAAAAAATACATTATTTAGCATTAACCTATCACGTATCGTGTCTGGCCTCATTTGGGAAAGAGTTGAACTCATCAGAGAACTCACCAGTATTGCATTTTGACCAATAGCTGAGCGATGTTAATCTCACTGTAACAAAAGTCACGCTGACCGAGTCCTTTACAGTCGTCTCGACCCTGTTTACAGACGCTTTTCATGAACAAAAGAAAAACTACATATTTAATATAATTTAATATATTTAATATATTGACATCTATTGGTAACTATATGAGCCTTTCAGCGTCTCCAACTGACGCCTCAGGCAACCCATTAAAAGCAATGGAATTCCTTTTGCGTCGGTATTCACCTTATTCTCCGTCGACGAGTCGGCACTGCCATTTGAATCTTTTTAGCTTGAGACTTCCGGTCTCATTCACTTCCATTCATTTTTTGACATTAAAAACTGCTCATTACACTGCTTGATGTTGCAATTTGATATTTTCTTATTATATTATTCTACTTGGTCTGTATAGTCATGCAAACATTTGTTTGTAGAGCAAGTAGTTTGATCGTTTTCTGCCGTTTATTATTTCTAGTCATTTCTCCCATAGGCGACTGAATCGGAAGTTCTAAGACAATCGCGAAAACAGGCGCACTTCCACATTTTAGAATAAGGTCAATAGTGACGCCAGGGGGCACCTTCTGCGTCCTCAAACTGACGTGAAAGGGGGTTGACCATACTTTAGTTTTTGACGCCTTCGGGGTGAGAATAGGTTGGGTGAATTGGGTAGGCTAAATTGTCCGTAGTGAAGGATTCGGATTTCTGCTTTCCAATCCGTCTCATCATGGACCAACGTTTATCCTTTTCATCATCCTGTTTCTCAGTATTTATCTGTGAATTGATTTTAACTAATGAATAAGTTAAAACTGCTTACTGTAAGAATGTTCTGTGTCCTTGTTTCTCTTTTTGCCTGTCTATTTTAACTTTGTTTTCTGGAGACACACAAACCAGGTCATAGGTCATGGAGATCTCTCTCTCTCTCCCCATACAGAGGAGAAGAAGACACCTGTTCTAGTTGTCCTGATATTGCCTATAATATTATAGCTGTTTGATTGATCTATTTTTGAGTATAATAAATTTTAATGTAATTCCTTTTTGTGTGGAGATAGACTGTGTGTAGTAAAGATATTGCAGCAGACTGTTGATGGAAACAGTCTTGAACCAGCCTGATAACACAGCTGAACGTACAAGAAACATCCTTGAGTCTTTAACACAGATGGTCGTTTGTGTCTATTGTTTTCCTGGTTTAGCTTTTTACAGGTCAGAGATCAGCTCCTAATAACTTAGGGTGACCTCACCTCTAGGCATCAGGTCGCCATCCATATCTGGAGACAGATACAATGCTTTCTTTGACGCACGCATTAAGGCCATCCATATCTGGAAGTAGATACTATGTTTCTTTGACGCATGTATTTAGAATTGTCTATTTCTGTTGTAACCAATGAGAACTGTTTACCTGGATCCCACCCTTTCTGGACTTGTGTAAAGAGTATAATTGTTCGATTGTTGAATCTGTAAGCAGAGCGGCCTAGGAACTTATTGAGAGTGTTGAAGCTGGCTTCTGCGAATGAAACTGCAAACTATCTTCAGTAAACTTAATTTATTTTTTTAAAATCTCTGACTCCGGCTCTTCTTCATCAACCAGACTGGTCATTCTTTGGGTTAAACTGTAAACTATCCCTACAGTAGTGTATGAGTGTGCGACCCTGGATCAATAAAGGGACTAAGCCGTAAAGAAAATGAATGAACTTATTACTTATACTCATTACATTTTTACGTAAATATATGTAATTTCTGCTCTTTACATTTTTAATCAGCGTTGTGATGGGTTGTGTGTCATTATTTGTCATTGTGCAAATCGAAAGCCTTTTTGATTCAGTTTTTTCAATGTGCAAATGTGCTGCTTTTTAAAAACATGTTGGTGCATTGTACGTAGGCTAGATTGTGAAGCTTACAAGGAGAGACACAAGGATGGCTAACATGGCTGAGACAGAGGGAGTTGGTCAAATATTCTGTGGGAATATAAAATATGAGTTGTCTTCACTTAACACTTAAGTTCATCCAAAACATATTTACATATTTCTTCTGCTATGATAAATACTTCATGTAGTTTTCGTGTTTTAGCATTAGGCATCTGGCATTAAAGCTCTCATGAATATCCCATGTTTTTTTTTTTTTTTTTTAGTTAATTTTATGAATATAGTGGATATAGTATTGTGACAGCTGCATACATGCATTGAGATTTGTTTCCTTTATTTTCAATGTGTTCCTATTTCATTCATACTGTAAGGTCCAACCAGTTGGCCCAATGCCGGTGTCCACTGGTGGATGAAGGTTCAGTGCCTGTTCGGTCTTTCCAGTGCACAATGTTGATTTACCTTAAATTTAACTCATATCTGACTCCAATTTTAGTATGAGGTGGTTTAGAATATTAATATATTTATCTTAAGTTTTATCTGACTCCAATCATAAAACATTAAAAAGATTATATCAATATATAATTTAGGTCCCGTTTACACTAGTGCGTTTTAGTTTGAAAACGCATAAGTTTTGCTACAGTTACGCCATCCGTCCACACTACGCCGGAGTTCTCGAGCGCCGAAAACGGAGCTTTTTGAAAACGCTGGAAAGGCCGTTTTCATTCTAAAACGCTGCTGCTCCGTCTCAGTGTGGATGGGGAAAGACGGAGACATCTGAAAACGGAGGCGGGGCTGCAAACGTTCGCCTATCTGATTGGGGCTTTTCCTCAATATTAAGTAGCCTAACACACACAGTTCAGTCTCGCATCCTCTTCTTGTAAGTTAAGACTTCGCAAGTTTGATCAAGGCTGCAGTCTCCCCCTTTTCAGTTTGATATGGAAAACATACCGAGGACACGGGTAAATCTTCAAAGGGAACA